AGATGAATTCGACACCCGCGAGCGGCGGGGACTCGCCCGATAGGAATTCCTCTACGCGCCGTGTCACTCGCTCGTGGTGCTCGACGACAGTGGGATCTGTGGGAACGGCAAGGGGATGGGGCTGGAATTGCCCCTGTAGATGGTTGGCTAGAATGTCTGCCCTGTCCTTGGCTGCGTACCTTCGTGTGCCCGTCGCGTCTAGCAGCGGACACACGGGTGGTGGCCGTGTTGACAACTGTCGGCAGAGCCGGTGCAGGTTGGTGTCGTGATCGGTCGCCTGTTCGATCAAATTGTCCCAGGCGGCCCCACGCCACACCCGCACCCCCTCCGACAGTTGTGCAGCCAAACAGTTGAGATCGCGCTTGACGCGCGGACAACGCATGCGCGCCCATAGGCGACGAAGACGGCGCTTCTGTGCGAGCATTTCGTATAGATCGACGGGTAATTTCTCGCGGCGGCGAGACGCGCCCGCCGCTCCCGAGGGGGTATGGGCGACCGTTGCCGCCTCCTTGGCGGCCACTATGGCGGCCGTGATGGCCGTGGAGGCGTCCTCGATCGCCTCAGGAGTGGCGAGCTCGCCGCTGAGGGAGTACCCGTCGAGCTCGCGTTGAAACGCCGTCCAGTCTATCCTCCTACTGGGGCGCGACGCTGGAACGAACGTGGCCGCTACGTCAAGCGCGATCAATACCGGGAGGTGAGACGTATTCAAGTCGTACAACACCTCCAGGTTAATGGGACAGGGGACATTCTTAGCCAACACTATGTCCAGGACGTCAGATGTGTGCCTGGGATTGGTTGGGACATGAGTGGGTGAGGAGGGGCCTAGGATTTCATAACCGCCGCTCTCGGCATCATGAAACAGCCACAAACCGTCCCTCGTTACGCGGGACGACCCCCACGCGGTGTGTTTCGCGTTGAGGTCGGCCGCCAGAATGGTCGGCTTGTCGCTGTCCATGATGGCTCGGATATCGTTCGAGCAAAAGCGAGCGGCGGGCGGACGATAGCCTGCAAACAGGCGGACCTCTACCCTCCCCCGCGTTCAACGCTACACCGTTGGAACGCAGGGAACGATATTTAGTGTGCCCAATCTCCGTGTGGACGACATCCCTCCGGACAAGAACCGCCGTACCACGGTACCGCACTCCCGCCGGAGAGACCTCGTCCCGCCTATACACGTGATAATTAGGCACACTGAAATCGATATGTGGGGCTAGCTTAGTTTCACCCAGCAGAATGACATGTAAGTCCTGCTGCTGGGCGAAGAGTCGGAGGTCGCCTGCTTTGTCGGCGACTCCCCCGGGATTCCAGTAGGCGATACGAAGTTCAACCGCGCCCGTGTAGCCTTTCCAACGAGGCCAATCCGCCGAGCGCGGCCGACTTAATGTCCGACCCGGTCGCGAGCGCCTTTAGAAAATCGGTTAGCAAACCCAACACTAAAAGTAATGGGTCTGCAACCGACATCCCAGGCGTGCTCGCGGCCGGCGTCGGAAGGAATCCGTGGGGACGCCTTGCGTGGCTAGGGAGCGAGGGGGGCACACATCCGACGTCCTGGTTATTGCTACTAACTATTTGGTTAATAAAATTGTTTCTTAATTCTATGGGTTCCGCTTCGACGCCTTGGTTAGGCGTCGACTCGGCGCGCCGTCCGCGTCGCCTGCGGCCGCGGCGCTTCTTGGTGCCCACTGGAGCGCCGCGGGCCGTCGGTGGGTTGGCAGGTGTGGCGAGTGTCGCCCCTGCCGACGCCGACGCTGGTGGTGCTCCGCCTCCGTGCCCGGCCGGCTCGTGCCGCACCGGCGCGGGTTGGGTGGCGGAGGGCAGTTGTGTCGCACTATGTGCGACTGTGGGCGCCGTATGGCGGGTCGTATGGGTGGGGGGCGCCCTCGTGCGCCCCCTGCCGACGGTCTGCCACTCTCCTGGCGCCGCCACGGGTGCGGGAGGCATCGGCGCAGTCGGCGCGATGTTCCGGCGGCGCGCCTCCCTTTTATACACCGGGCAGCGCCGGTCGTTGGCCGTGTGGGCCCTCGCGCAGTTGGCGCACGTGGGCGGAGCGTCCCTCGGGCGGTCGCAGGCTCCCGCGGCGTGCTCCCCCGCGCAGCGGACGCACCTGATGGGACGATGACAATTAGTGGAAGCGTGGCCGTACGCCTGACAGCGGTGGCATTGAGCCATCCTGTTGGCGGACCGCCACGCCTCGATGGTTACGCCCGGCATTCTCAACAGCACCTTGGTGCTGTAGAGCCGGGCGAGGTCGTCCCTACTCATACGCGTCAACAGCGCGTGAAATAAGCATCCCGGGCGCCCTCGACGCGCCGGTATGGTTCTCACCAGGGACACTTGGAACCCTAGGGCCCTCAAGCTGGCGGCCACAGCGTCCGGCGGAGTGTCGGCGGGTAGGCCTCTGATGGCCACCTTCACCGGCAGCTCCTCCGCCAGGCTGTAGCAATACCAGCTGAGGGCCGGCTCGCTGTCTCCTAGCTGCGTTAGGTATCGTTGCACGGCACGGAATTCCGTCACGCTTTTTGCAATAAAGCGGATTCCCGTGCCGTACGGACGTGCATTAGGGATGTGGCCCAGTATCTGTTCCAATTGACAGAAATGGTTCTGCCAATTGGGCAGACACTCGGCCACTATGGGTGGGTAAGATTTACCCATTTGGGTCTCTTCGTCGACCGGTGCGGGCGCCGCTCCCACGCGCGGCGCGGCGCCGGAGGGCGCCGTAGTCGGCGCCGGTCGCGCCGCCGCGCCGGCGTACGTGCGGCGCTGCTCCGGTCTCTGCGGAAGAGGTGGGTGTAGGGGGGCTTGGGGGATGGGGGATGGGGTGCCGGAGCGGATACCCACATAGGACGTGTCGTCCATGTGGAATTCCGTCCGGTCCTCGAAAATAGGCGGGGGTGGGCAAATCGAGTAGCCTAGATACGTGTCGGCCGCGGGGGGTCGGCCCCGCGACGCGGCACGCTCCGGCTGGGATTGGGAGGAAGTGGAGTGGGTGTCAAGGGAAGTGTCTATTATTGTTCCCGGCGCCGGCCCCACCGTGGCAGGTCGGGAGCCGCCCACCAGCACGCGGAAACGGGGGGTGGGTATAATCTCGGGCTCCTCTGTGCCCACGGCGACGGGGACGGAAACGGGAACGGGACTGGGTGCAAGGCTGGGAAGGGAGGCGGGGGATGAGTCCTCGACGCAAGCTCTCTTGTCGTCGTGAGCCACTGATGACTCCGACGACGTATAGGAGGAAGAAGAAAGGGGGGCAGCACGTTTGGTGGCGGCCGTGGGGGGTCGGTCCGTGCTCGGCGAGCCGGGCGCCGGGGAGGGGGACGGGGACCGGGGAGTATCGCGCGGCGGTGTGCACTCAGGCACACGCCGCGGAATGCCCGATCTCCCGGCCGACCCCCCGGCGGTTGGCCCGCCGGAGCGGGGACCGAGCCCCAATGCGGACGCGGGTAGTATTTCTGATTTGGAGGGATCTAATAGATCCCTCTTGACGATAGGTCTTTCGGGGGCGCCGCGGTGGCGGCCCCGTTGGGGCATTGTTGTGGCGTCTTGGACTGCGGAGATGGACGGGGGTGGATGGTTTTTAGGGGAAAAGGAAGGCTAGACGGGACGGAGGGCGTCGTGAGGCGACGAGGGGGAAAGAGATGGGATACTTACGGGGGAAGGTGGTGGCTTGTCAAGGGACGGATGATTTCACAAGAAATCACCGCCCTTGGCTCGCGGTTCCCGGCTGCGGCTGTGGGGGTCGCCAGGCGAACCCGCAGGGTGGAGACGCGGTGCGTGGGCGCGCGGCGCGCGGCGAGGCCGGGTGGCGAGCGGAGCGGGGGCGCGACTGGCGAGACACCAATCGCACGCGTCGTCGCTCTCGCTCGCACACTGCTCTCTCTGTCGCGCACCGCACTCGCTCACGCTGCTGGGGACGCCGACGCCCGTCTAGTCGATCGCTCACTTCACACTTTACACGGCTTCACTCCGCGTTTGTTTTACGCACGTGTAAATAATCATTAAGTTCATCAAGTTTTAAATCGATCAATCAATAATTCATCAAGTTTTAAATCGATCAATTTTACACTTATTTTTGCTATAGCAAAAAATAAAAATCCCCTATCACACGTGGCAGTTTCAGTGACACTGACCAAAAGTGGGATTAGGAGAAGTTATTAATTACGCTTCTCATCAATAGATGGCTCTAATAGTTTCTGAATAATGGAATAGTTCCATTTTGCCTAGATATCGTTTTCTGGTTTTACTACTCATCCAAGAAGTTCATGCTTTATTAATATATAGTGGATTTCGGGTATAACGGCGATGAAGGGACCACTTTATTTTCGTCGTTATATCCGGAACTCGTTACAGGCAAAGGTAAAGAGATGCAGACACGTGCACATGTATAGTTTATATTCAATTATTATTGAAAATATTTGCACACATAATTATTCATTGGTACATTTAAAAAAATGTATAATATTAGTTTGCTTTAAATTATTTATTTTTTGCTAGTATACGGTGTAGGATGTATTCTATTTTCATTACTGCTTCAATATCGATAATATCCTTTCTATCACCAAATAAACAGTATCTTTTAAGCTTTGTTACAACACCTAACCACATCCTTAGTTGTAGGAATCTCAACTTCCATGCAATCTTCCTCCTCATTTTCTTCATCTTGCGTCGTATGTGATGGAACATCAGTTTCAACAATTTCACTATCGGACAAATCGCTAGTTGTAATAACTTATCACAGCTAGTCTATCGATATCATCATATATTTCCCAGTAAGCAACATTTGTTGCGCTTGATGATGCTGTAGTCAGTTATGTCAATGGTATGTTCAATTCATCATCGAAGTCGTCATCAATTGTTGCGATAGCCGAAGATTTATGGAACCCAGCGTGTAGAAAACAATTTTTGATCGTATCCGGAGTCATCCGAGCCCATGCCGTAGTTACCATTTCAATGGCATCTAAAATATTAATGGAAAATGGGCCTGGCGTGTTATCAATGTCGTTTATCATTTTCTGTACTAAAGTATTTCTATAATGACTTCTGAGGGTTTTAATTATTTCTTGATCAATCGGTTAAATCACTGATGTAGTGTTTGGTGGTAAAAATGCCAGTTTTATGTTGGTCAAATTCTCTATTTTAGCATGAGCTGGGTAATTGCTGATAAATAAAATGCTCTTTTTTTTGTTATTTCTTAGCTGAAAGTCCCATTTGCGTAAAATCTATTTATGCTGAGTGGTGCATAAAATAAATAAAACTGCTTTAAACTTCTTTGGCATATACGGCACGAGAGTTAAATCTTTGGTAAAACCATGCACACTCGTTTCGGGCGTTCGTGTTTTTGATGCTTGAAGTGAGTGTGATATATGCTGTTTGTTATTTTTTAGAATATCAATACACATAAGTCCACTTTCTAATAATTCCTCCATGAGTTCAGTAAAGTTGAATCGGTTGTTACCCGTTTTATTACGGTGTGTATTTTCAAAATCCTTGCACAGTCGTGGAACTGATTATGTGGGTATAGCCAGTTTCCGTTCCTCGTCGGAAAGGTCAACGCCATCTGAATTTTTACCATAATATAAGCATTGAATACATAAAACAACTTAACGTCACATACTAGTAGGATTTTAAGGCCATACTTCGCCGGTTTCTTTGGCATATACATAATAGCTGTTAAGGATCTTTCTGAATCATCAAACCGGTAAAATAATAATATAAAATAATAATACAAGACAAATAAATAAATGTACAAATTGCTAGAAGTCATAATTTCGCAATTTGATTGCTATTTTGTTTAATATTTCCAAGACATTGTACAATAAAAATGATGCATTTCAAAATTAATTTAAACTTAATTCTGGTTAATTGCTTAATTTTTTCAGGTAGCGTATTGTATAGCCTGACCAAAAAAATAAAAAACCTGCTCTGAGGGCGCTATATTAACTATGATTATGGCAACATCTACTATAGTCATACTATTGCGAATTGGCAAGTGTACTTTTTTTAGCTAGTGTTTAATTTAATGTAAACTATCGCAGAAAGTTAGTTTACCTACTATTTATTTAAATTCGCGGCTAGAAGAAGAATCGACGTTTAAATTTTTTTTTACTCACTACAATACAATCTAGGTTTATTTCTTTCTTTTCTAACGACTCAGGAAGGACAGTTAAAATTTACTTTTTAAAGGTTGTTCCTACTACAAGTTTTTTTTTAAAGTAAATATTTAAGTTTTAAAGTATTGTGAAATAAACTTCCTTAAAAGTAAACTATAGGCATTCTGATTCTGATTCTAATTAGGCAGTTTAAAAAAGTACAACTTTATTATTTCAGTATTAGCTTTATTTAATATTTTAATAGCATAAGTCTTCAAAGTCGGAATCCAAATATTCAACAGATTCATATGTTTCATGATCTTCATTGTCTGATTATTGTGTTTCAATTTCAGATATAACAGATTCATTGCTACTTGTATCATTGGATGTTTCACTATCGTCACCAACATTTATAATAAATTTTTCAATTTCTCCGTCAATTACTGGTCCCCTTTGTCTATAATCTTCTTCTATTTTCTTTGTATGCTCACAACAATTATTCCATGTATCGGCAGTTATATCCTAGAAAAATAATTAATAAGTCAGTAACTGTATCTAAACAAAATATTTAATTTTATATCAGATGAAATGTGATATTTACCTCAAAACAGTTTTTTACAAGCTGCATGAATGTGATATTGTCTAAACCAACATTCTTTGTGGCAACCTTCCCTTTTACTATGCCCCATATTATCTCAATAGGATTGAGGTCATAATGATATGGAGGCAGTCTTACTATTTTGTGACCATAATCCTGTACTAAATGATCTATTTCATATATTGGGTCAGGTTTATTTTGTTTTACTATAACCATTAGCATACTTTTGGTAGCATTGGTAGGGTAGGCAATATTATTTGATGAAAGCCAGTCTGTAATTTCTTTTTTTCTATTTATCATGCTCAGTGGCTTGTTGATTTGGCTAGAATGATATCTAGCGTTGTCCATGACTATACAGGTAGGTTCTTGCAAATTGGGTATTAATTTATCCAATACCCATTTCTTAAAATTAACTGTATTAATGGCGTCATGGAAATCTTTTTTTTTTTCTTTGTCATTATAAATTAATAAAGCATTAGGGATTAACCCAGTCTTGCCACCACAATGGACAATGACATATCTTTTGCCTTTAGCCACAGATTTAGATCCACCAGGCTCATTTTCACTTTGCCAGCATTTAGCTTGATTGAGCGAAGTATGAATATAACTTTCATCAAGGTATACAATTGGCATACCACTCTTCCTTACATCTTTGATTTCTTGTAGATATCTATCCCTCCATGCTACTATATCATACCGCTCCATAAGAATTATCCTTTGATTTCTACATTTTTTAAATTTATAACCTAATTTGTGTAACAGTAAACGAAGAGACTCCCTGCCACCAACAAAATTTATTGATTCTTTCAGAGCTGCAAGCAACCGCTTCAAACTCGGTACTTCTTTTCGGACGGCATAAAATTCTTGTAGTTTATGCCTAATTGCACAGAGATCGAAATCATCCAAATTGATTTTCTTTTTTGTTTTAGGTTTATTTTTCTTGGGTGTAGAAAATACAACTGAGGTCTGACCTTCTCTTCGTATTTTCATTACGGACGATTGGGATATACCTATACAAAAAAAAAAACAAAAATAAAAAAACAGAACTTTTAAATTAAAAATTAGTCACAAATTAGCCAATTCATATTGGACGTAGTATATGAGGTACCTACCAGTCATGTTGACAACAAGGTCCGTGATGTTGTTTAGAGGAATAGAGTCAATTCCTTCAGACCTTCTTTCTGACAAGTAATTATTTATATTATAAATAACTTTTCTTAACTGGCTTTTAATCGTCTTTGGCATTTTAACGCTGAAATAACTCACTTAACCAAGAAATACACCACGCACAATCGACAACACACTTTGACAGATGACAATAATGACATCTCTTATAGATGGTTGCCAGTTGAAGAAATTAGTTCCAATAGTTTTCCGCAATATGGCGAGGTTTTTTATTTTATTGGTCAGGCTATATAATTTTATTTCCAAACCAACATACAGTTGTATCAAGTCTAGTTTTTGGTATTTGGCTTGTCGTACTAACTTAGGATCCAATTCTCCCCTCAACAGAATGTTATCATCGTATAATAAAGCCGTAAACGTTGACCATGATATCGACATCTTTGGTAATTCTTTAGTGCAGTATACTAGGCTTATTAATAATATGGATTGGTAGTTAGGTCTTTTCTAATTGTATAATTGTTAGTTAGTATACATTGACGCTTATCTGTGAGAGCTGTATACGCCTTTAATTGATATGTTCATATAGCCTTAAGCTTGGTAGTGAGGAGTAAGATTTTTTGTTCAAACTTAGATTTAAGCATTTTGTAATAGTAGTTTTTCTCTTTTAATTACTAATAATATTGTATATTATCTACTTAATTATTGTGAGCATATTGTTGGTGTGTCTTTTATAAATAAATAAATAAATAAATAAATTCCTTTTTTTTATATGTTGTTGTATTCATGCTTTCCTGGGTGGGCGTATTGGAAAACTGTAAGGCTCGCCCAGTGGATGTAATAAATAAATAAATATCGTTGTCGTTATCTGTCGATATATAAAGCACGTATCGCTGATCTTTCTATTTATCTATATGTAAACCATTTAAAAACAAAGACTTATTTTCTCCTTTACACAACGTGACAGTACCAAGTTCTATTCGATTAACTTTTCGAGTGTTTATTAAAGCACCCGTACTAAGTTTGGCGATTTAATAATTTGACAGCTAAATCGTACGAGTTATAATAATTGTCCATATAGACACTGTGTCCCGAGTCCAATTTCTCCTCCAATAGCTTTAAAACTGTTTTTCGAGTGTATCCTATTCCGGACGTATCATCATCTGCACCACCGTATATTTGAAATTTGAGGACTGCTATCTGATTCTGCAAATACGTATAACTTTATGCCGTACTTATGGCGCTTATTTTTAATACCATATATTGCCTAAACTGGAGACGTTCACGCCATAACACTATCGATTCATCCAGAGAAAGCTGTTTGCCTGGGTAATAAATTTCATTCATTTGATTGTTAAAATGACCTGACGGACGATATCGGACGATTTTGGCCAGTCGATCTTTTTCATTTGTTTCAGATGAAAAATGGAGGCAACGCAATATTATCATAAAACGGTTACGTGACATATATTGTGCAAAACGAGGTATATTAAATAACCGATGCTTTTTCCAGTAATCGCTGAGTCGGTTTAGCCGGATTGTACCTGTGTGAAGAACTAACCCAAAAAATGTTAATAACTCAGTCGAGCCACCTGCTCCAGAAATGGTCTGCTAGTCGCTGCGCTCGCCGCCAGTGACTCCTGCTATTTACGTCGGAGTCATTGAAGGTTCCCGGCGTCTGCACGTTGCCTGATCCTCCCAGCAGAAAGTGGTTAGGCGTGTGTGCTTTTTCATCGTTCGGCGGCTATTGACAGTATATTCTGTCTCACACAACAGCGTGGCTAAGGTTTTTTCTGTCGGATGTTGCTCGTGCAGTGTAGCGCCAATGTTGTTTTCACAGAGCGGACGAAACGTTCCCACGCTCCGCCCATGAATGGAGCGCTGGGGCTGATGAACCGCCAGCGTATTCGACGGTTAATCGCGTCCTCGCGACTGGCTTCTATGGCGGCGCGATGTAGCTCTGCGTCCGCGCTATGGAGATTGGTCTCGTTGTCGAACCAAATCTCTGTGGGTTTTCGCCGTGTGTTTGTCCCCACAGTTGGCACACGTCGGAGGCTCTTCTCGGGGGCGCGGACAGTCGCGCGCCGTGTGCTCTTCGCCGCAGCGGACGCAGGCAAGTTTTCTGTGGCACCCGTGCGAGGAGTGCCGGAAACTTTGGCACCTGTGGCACTGTGCCGGGCCTCTTTTCCCTCTTCAGGCTTCAATTTTTATCCCCGGCATGCATAACAGTTCCGTTGTTTGGTAGATGCCGGGGATAGTCCCCAGGGTGCGCTTCAGCTGTGCGTAGAAAATGCACCCCGGGCGGCCTTGGCGGGCTTTTATCTGACGGACATATTCTGGACAATGTCCAAGCTCCGCCAGGGCTTCGGTTATCACCTCGACGGGTGTGTCCGCTGGTATTCCGCGGATGGCCACTTTCACACTTTTTTCCGCCGGCAGCTGGTAGGAGAACCAGCTGATGTGTTCTTGTTTTTCCAAGTCGGAGAGGTACCGCTGTATTACGCGGTACTCTTCCTCCGACTTGGGCGTAAAGCGCACCCCTTTTCCGTAGGGGCGCGCGTTAGGGGCGTAGTTTAATCTGCCTTTCAGCGTGCGAAAGTGACGCACCCAATCCGGCAAATGTTCCACGATGAGCGGCGGGACTCTTTGTTTCTTCGCCTCGCGGGGGGGAGGGGGCGCTGTGGTAGCTTGTGACAGCGCTCCTGGGTTCCTGGGCGTCCCTGCCGATGTCCCAGGCGGTGGAGTAGGCGCTCTGGCTGCCTCTGCATAAGAGGGAGCTGGCACAACGTTCTCTCTCGGACCGGCAAACTGCGTGTCCCTCGGTCTCAAACGTGGGTCCCTCTGTGCGAGGGGGGTGGGCTGTAGCGGTGGGGAGGGCTCTTGACAGGGGCGCTTGTGCCCCTCCTCCTCGGTCTCTGGGCTTCGGGGTCGCCTGACCGGTCTGGTGGACGAGATCATGAACGATCTGCCCATGTCTCGTGCCAGCTCCATCTCTTCCATGGGTGGCGTCGGCTGGCCCTCCAGTCGGGCCGCCTCGTCCCCGACCAAAGCCGCAATCCTCTCCTTCATCCCTTGGGACAAAAGGTCCGTCGCCAGCACTTGTCCCAAGATCAACGAGTCACACTCTAATGTTGATCTCGGTGACAAACCGACGCGCGGACCCCCGCCCGAAATTACGGAGGGGCCTGCGGCTCCGGACAGAGGTAGAGGGCGTCCAGTGGCGGGCAAATCGCCTGCACCCTTTCTCGAAGCGGTGGTGGTGTCCGGTGGCGATGCAGGAGACATCGGGACATCGGCAGCGCTTCCGGGTCTCGATGCTGTTCATTGTTGTACCCTGCACATGGATACGGCGTCGGTGAGGGCGGCGGCGACACTATGTGCGGCGGTTGCGGCGGCGAGAGGGTGGGGGACGGCTATTGTGCGGTTCGCGGCGGGCGCGGCCTGCGGGGCGCGCTGGGCGGCGGCGCCCGAGGTGGGTTTCACTGCATTATTACTACTAAGGGTTACACTGTGGCTTACACTGTGGCCGCTAGTAGACGCGGCGTGTGCGGCGGGCGCGGGAGGGGTACGGTGAGCGGCGCGGGAGCGGGCACTGTCCCTCGGGGGGGAGTCGGGGCGCGGACGCGGGCGCTACACGTGGGTGCGCGAGCGGCGGGGGGGTACGTCGAATTCCCCTCTCGCCGTGGTTACACCGACTGGCACTGTCTTCTTGTTCGACTGGCCCTTAGAAGGGCCCTTGTCGACCGGCGGCGGCGGCATTCTTCGGCCTTGCGGCCAGCCGCAACCCTTCTTGCTTCGGGGATATAATCCCCAGCACTGTGTTGTTCCGTTCTTCGCTGATGGCGGTCCCCGCAGCTCTTCTGACGACGAAGAACCGGCCGTTGTTCGTCTCGCTTACTCAATAAGCGAGGCAGTCCAACGTTGCGCGATGTAGATGAGTTCGGGCGGCTGTGGTCGGGAGCTCTTCACGATGTAGTTGCTTCCACGACGGCTGCGATGCGAATCCACAATGCCGCATAATTTTTTTTTTCGTACCGATTTTGCTGTTGGCCGCAGATGGCCTTTACAGCTTCACCGAGCGCGTGTGCAGGGGCGAGAGCAGAAGGCACTCCAAGCCCGCGAGAGGGGAGCGACGTGAGGTGTCAGCTCTTTCAGATGGACTGCGGTGTTTGCGCCCGAGGGCGCCCTAGTGGCTCGAACCTCGACTCAGGCCACCGCACTTCGACCCCCGTCAGGGCAGGGGCCGGTAGATCGAGGGGGGGGTCGCCGCCGTCGACGTTGGCGGACGAGACATACGAGCGGCGCACGGGCAGACGTCTGCCCGGTCGATGGTCCCCGACCAGAGCCGCAATCCTCTCCTTCATCCCTTGGGACAAGAGGTCCGTCGCCAGCACTTGTCCCAAAATCAACGAGTCACACTCTAATGTTGATCTCGGTGACAAACCGACGCGCGGACCCCCGCCCGAAATTACGGAGGGGCCTGCGGCTCCGGACGGAGGTATAGGGCGTCCAGTGGCGGGCAAATCGCCTGCACCCTTTCTCGGAGCGGTGGTGGTGGTGTCGGTGTCCGGTGGCGATGCTGGAGACATCGGGACATCGGCAGCGCTTCCGGGTCTTGATGTTGTCCATTGTTGTACCCTGCACATGGGTACGGCATCGGTGTGGGCGGCGGCGACACTGTGTGCGGCGGTTTCGGCGGCGAGAGGGTGGGGGACGGCTATCGTGCGGTTCGCGGCGGGCGCGGCCTGCGGGGCGCGCTGGGCATCGGCGTCGCCCAAACCGGCGCGAGAGATGGTAACACTCGTGTGGCTGCGGATCGGCGCGGCTGGTTCGGCGCGGGGGACGTTCGGCGTCTCTGCGGTGCGATGCGCGGCGCGCGAGCGGGAGCGCTCTCTCCCCCGCGGGGGGGAGATCGCTGATCGCGGGCGCTGCGCACGGGCGCGCGCGTGGAGAGGAGCAGCGGTGGTAGGTCCCCCCTACGATGATGGTACACTTTGGCCCTGAAAAGGGCCTTTTTCATCCGGCCGTCTGGCCGGGCTCGGCATCACTTTCACTGGCACTGACACTTACTGTTGCTTCATTTGGTGTCCGTGTGGACGCTTGTAGATGCCGTTGTGCGGCTCTTGGTTGCAGTCTCCCGCGATCCTTTTTTCTTGGGGGGGGGGGGGGGGGAATTCCCCAGATGGACGTCGAATTTGGGTGTGGCTCGTCTCAGCTGTCCGTGACAGCCGGCCGTTGCCCGGTACGTTTGCAACAACAAACGCACCAGACAACGTCTTCTTTGTTGGCGCTGGCTACGGAGGGTCCGAGCGGTGCGACGGCGGTAAAGGCGACG